TACTTCAGGAAAGTGCGGCCTTGAGATGACAGATCCCCCAAGCACATTCATCCCTCCCGGGACGCTGTCACAAGAGTTAGGGGCAGGGAGGTGCTTGCCTTGCAGTGCCATGGAAAATGAGAGCTGCCCTCCAGGCCTCTGGAGGTCCCTGTGAAAGCAGAGCGGGATGGAGGAGGTGGGCTCTGTGAGCACCACCACTCCGCTGTCTGCAACTCGGCCACACGCTGCAGCAGCGTGGAAGGCATGTGGGGCTGTACTCACAGCAACAAACAAACTTTACTGAATCGTTAAGTATGGTGTGCCACATGCATCTGATTAGCTATCAGTAGAACATATTACCCTTTAGTAGTGTCTGTGTCTGTTTAACAGTGTAAAAGAGGTGTCAGCAATTAAGTTTTATGATGGTGAGAGTCCTAAGTCTCAGTTCAAGGTGATGCTTATTTAGTTCCCTGGTCTACCCCATAATGTAGTCACTTCTGAGAAAAAACAGGTCTAGACAAAGTCATCTGGGAAGTGCTGGTGTAGTGAAGGTAATTTTGGCTCCCATATCTATGATCTACTACAGAATCACAGGTTGGAAGGCACCTATGGAGATCATCTAGTCCAGCCCCCTGCACAAGCAGATCACCCACAGCACATTGAACAGGATTGTGTCCATGCAGGTTATGAAGATCTCCAGAGAAGGAGACTCCACAGCCTCTCTGGGCAGCCTGTTCCAGTGCTCTGCCACCCTCACAGGCGGGAAGTTTTTCCTCCTGTTCAGACAGAACATCTTGTGCTTCGGTTTGTGGCTGTTGCCTCTTGTGCTATCGCTGGCCACCACTGAAAAGAGTCTGGCCCGATGTTCTTGACAGCTTCTCCTCAGGTATTTGTACTCTCTGATAAGATCCCTCTCAGCCTTCTCTTCTCTAGACTGAACAGGCCCAGCTCCCCCAGCCTCTCCTCATAGGAGAGAAGCTCCAGTCCCCTCATCATATTTGTAGCTCTTTGCTGGACTCTCTTCAGTAGCTCCTTGTCCCTCTTGTTCCTGGTGAACAGGATAAGGCTTCTGTGGTTGCAGATCCTCCTTGCAAAGCTGTCTTAAGGCTACTTGAAGGATGTGTGCGGGAACTGTAGGGTCTCTAGCATGAGCAGTCTGAATAGCTGCTCCCCTTCCAGCCTGGGATCAAAGCTACATATGCAGTTTGTACCACAGTCATTCCCCAACTCTTTGTCATTCTAGTTACATTCAGCATTTAAATTAACACCATTTCATGTTTCTTCTTTCTCATCAACATATGTAGAAATTGCCCAATCTGTTTTCTCATCTTAATTCGACCTCTTATCCTTTTTCCTTCTAATATCAAAGTATTCATTTCTAGCCCAATGTCACACTCCTAACCCAGTGTTACTACACTCATAATCATGCTTTAAAATAATCACATACCTTTTCATATCTTTTTCATATTTAATTTTATCCCCCTTTTTCTTTTCTTATGCCACAGAGCAAGTGCTGAATATCTTTGGCACCAACATGCTGGAGTACACAGTTAGCTTGTGCCGGGGGCATTTTGATTTCCTAGTCTGAATGCCTGTGGATGTGATTATTCGCGTACGGTCATTTTTAGATGCCTGTGGCTTTCAACAGCTGTCAAAAACATGCAAGAAGTTCCAGCAGGTAATGTCATAAACACTGCCCAGGTACCTAGGCTCATCTTCCTTCAAGGTCACTGTAAGGAACAATGTGAGGTGGAACTTTTCCATTATTTTTAGTAGAGCCACCAACACTTAGATGGCAACTGGAGATTGGAACTAGTACAAAAGAGAGACCAGGATTACAGATCAGCAGTAACTGATCAGGTCATTCATGTTTGGGGTAACCCAAACACTCTGCTTGTCCAGTTGAATCTTTCTAGCGTTACATCCATTTCTTTGTTCGCAAGAGCTGGCAAGTTAGATCCTAATAACCTGTTTGGGGTAACCCAAACACTCTGCTTGTCCAGTTGAATCGTTCTAGCGTTACATCCATTTCTTTGTTCGCAAGAGCTGGCAAGTTAGATCCTAATAACCAAAAAGAAAATTACTACAGAAGTTTTTTCAGAACATTCATATTTGAAGTTAAAATATCTAAACATTTTTTAAAAGGCAAAAAGTTTCCCAATATTGCATCTTTTTGTACCTCTCACTCACCTCACATGCTAGGGGGCCTGTTGCAGATCCTGACTTGAACATGAGACAAAATGACCTTGTTGAACCAGCATTTAATATCTCTGAAGTCAGCCCTTGCGCTTTCAAAGAGCACTTTGTTTTCCTCATTGAGTCTGCCAGCTGGAATTCAGCAAAGAGCACTGCCCTGACAATTACAGTCAGGTATCTTCTGTGCTCCTGTCAGTTTTAACCAGAATATTACAGTATTTGTATATGCAACAGTAATGATGATCTGATAGTATTTGCATAGCTGTAAATGAGTTATGTAAATGGGACATGTTCAGGGAGATCAGAACATGGCCTAATGAAGTATATCTTGAAAATATTTACTTTTTAGCTATGCAGCAGTGAAGATGTTTAGGGGAGAGTTAAACTATTCGAAGATAAACAAGCTCTTGATAAGACGATGATGACATTCTCCGTTCTCAAGAAGTTAATGAACTTCAATCAAAAACCCAAGCAGATGCAGAGAAAATGGAGCACTTTTTTTTAAAGCTCCTTGGAATTATTTGATAAAG